GAAATCACCCCTTAGGGGGGATGGCCATGCCACAATCCCTTCTCCTCCATTCTCCTCTCAGGATCTTGGGCATGCACGCACATGCGCCCGGTGCGAGTTTAAACCACCAGGTTCGGGACTCGAACCGCGGTCGACTATGTGAGAATCTAGTGACATAGCCATTACACTAACTGCTGGTCCTCCTTTTTTTTAAGAGAGATTTTTGCTACAGGGTGTGTTCACTTGCCTGATACACAAAGTGAGAAATCACCCCCAGGGGGTGGCCACAGCCCAATCCTTTCTTCTCCATTCTCCCCTTGAGATTTTGGGCAGGTACACTGACACACCCAGCGTGACTCAAACCACAATCATCTACGTGGGAGTCCAGTGACATAACCGTTACACCACCTGCTGATCCATAATGTCATATATACTTAAAGTTTTAAAACTTCACTAACAGAGAATATTCTTCATGTTATTTCTTCAATATCATATTCTGTTCCTCTGAACAAATATTCCAAGTCCCTTTAAACTTCCCTTGTCTATGTGACTCCCCTGGACTATATCTACAGAGATTCTACTTGTTTTATACAGCACCATATTTTTTGCCGTGTTCTCTTTATTTTCAAAATGCATATCTGAATCATTTTTCTTTTTTTTTAATTTTATTTATTCATTTACTTATTTTATTTTAACCAGAGAGAGACACAGAGAAAGAGAGAAAGTGAGAAAGCAAGCCACAAGATCCAGGACTTGAACCATGGTTGGCCATGTGAGAATGTCCAGCACCTTAACCACCGTGCCACCTGCTGGTCCCTCTGAGTCACTTTTCAAATGTACATTTGACCTCATTTACAGTTACTTCTCCTGTTTCCAAAATTACATTTACTCACTTAAATTTGTGTGTTTTTAAGTACAATTGTCTCCTTCCCTATAGACATCAAAACAATTTCTGGAAAAATTTAAGAGAGTAAGTAGTTTGGAGTTATACTCATTAGAAAAGCAGAATCCATAAATGAATGATAAGAACAGAAATCTGGCCCTGCCTGGTGGCAGTGTCGGTAGCAAAACGAACTTACAGTGCTGTAAGTCCCATGGTCCTCTGCAGGTTTGGCTCCCTGGGTGGGCCTGAATACTCACTGGAGTTATCTACCCTTGCCCAAAATGCTGAGCACTGGAGAGCTGAAGAAAAGTGGCTGCAACGTGATGAGACCCCATCGAGGATGCTTGCTTCCCTTTCTTTCTGTCTCTCTCTCATGCACGTGCCTGAGCTCTCCATTGTGAATAAGATAAACATAACAAAGTACTACATACATTGCTTATAACAGCAAGAAACTAAAAGCAAACAGCTATCAATGGTAAATGAGTCACTTGTGGCAATTTCTACAATGGAATACTAGGCAGCAGTAAAAATAAACTAGTACTACACACAAAATGGAGAAACTTCAAAAATACAATTATGAAACTTCAAAAATACAATTATGCAAGTCACACAAGAAAAATGTAGCTTGAGTCCATTTATAAAAATGTTAAAGGAGAGAAATAACAATCAAGAACACTTCAGGACAATGGAGTTGTTTTTCGTTTTCTTTTTTTGGCATAGGGAATTTGGATAGACACAGAAATTTAAAAAATTTAAAGATTACTCATACTATTTCTTATGTTAAGTGTGGTCTTACTAGTCTTGAAAGTTTATATGTTTTATATTCTCTTCTATTTATGAATAATTTATCATTTCAAAAGATTTAGAATTTAAAATTATTAAAATACTAATTAATATATCACAAATAATAGCATTTAGAATACTTATATGTACCAGACACATTATTAAGCATTTACAAAGTAAGTACCATTTATAATTGGAGAGATCAAATAACCTGCCTAAAGTAACAACTAAAAAGTAAAGGGGTTAGGGACCAGCAGATGGTGTAATGGTTACGTCTCTGGACTCCCACAAAGTTGACCGTGGTTCAAATCCCAGACCTGGTGGCTTAAAAATCACAACAGGTACATGTGCATATGAACTGTGAGGTTCAAGTCCCAGACCAGGCACCTTGAAAAACACACCAGGTATGTGTGTGTGCGTGCCCAAATTCTCAAGAGGAGGATGGTGGAGAAAGGATTGCTATGTGGCCATCCCTCCGAAGAGTTCTTTCTCACTTTCTGTCTTTTTACCCCCCTCTCTTTCTTTCTAGTAAGCACATAGGCCCTACAGCAAAATTAAAAATAAATAAATAAATAAAGCTTTTCTTTATTTTTTTAGAGAGAGAGATTTTTGCTATAGGGTACATGTACTCGCCAGAGAGACAGACAGACAATAAGACAAAAAGCGAGAAATCATCCCAGAGGGGATGACCACCACATTTCCTCCATTCTCTTCGGATCTCGGGCACGCACGTTACACACCCAAGTGAGCTGCTAGGTTCAGGACTCATACCATAGTCGACTATGTGGAAAATCAGCAATATAACCATTGCGCCATCTGCTGGTCCCAAAATACTAAAGCATTGTTAAGACTTTTAAAAACTGGGACCAGCAGTTAGCGTAATGGCTATGTCACTGTACTCCCATGTAGGCGACGGTGGTTCGCGCCCAAGATCCCGAGAGGAGAATGGAGGAGAAGGGATTGCGGCGTGGCCATCCCCCCGGGGGGTGATTTCTCGCTTTCTGTCTCTATGTCTCTCTCTGTCTGTCTGGCGAGAGCATGCACCCTATAGCAAAAACCTCTCCCCCCCCCCCAAAAAAAAGAATTTAAAAAATTATCATTTTTAGGTTAACTAAGGTGATACTTTCAATTATTATTGGAGAACTTAGTAAAGCATATGAATATATTAATTTAAATATTTATTAGTCCTCATACCACAACTCCAAAATTATGAGAAAGATAACAAAAGACAATATGATCTTTATCCTCGAGTAGTTCACAAGAAATCCAAACCACATACTAATATATTGTGTATTATATAAATTAAAGGTACATAACAGAAACAAATCAAAAATAAATTAACCTAGAAATAAAATAATAAATACACAGTGTAATGAATTACTACTAGAATTTTTAAATGGTCTACAAATTTAGCACTTACCTTCATATTTAAAATGGTAACATTTTCCAAGTAATAATACAGGGGAATTTCTACTAAAATAGGTCTTTGTTTTCAACACCCAACCTAAATGGAAAAAAAAAAGGAGTTTTACAATTAAGAGATTTCACACTAAAAGTTTAACAAGTATTTCCTTTTATTTAGTTTCAAGTCATTGGTTATCACTTATATCTGTGCATTTTTGCAAGGGCTGCAAAATTTTGGGCAAAGTCCTGAAAATACAGGCCATTTATGCTACTTTTAAAGAAAGTTAAGTATTTTGGGAACCAGCAGTTAGCGTAATGGCTATGTTGCTGGACTCCCATGTAGTTGACCATGGTTCGCGTCCTGGACCCGGTGGCTTAAACTCATGCCGGGTGCATGTGCATGCGTGCCCAAGATCCCGAGAGGAGAATGGAGGAGAAGGGATTGCAGCATGGCCATTCCCCCTGGGGGGTGATTTCTCACTTTCTGTCTCTCTCTCTCTCTCTCTTTCTGGTGAGCGCACGTGCCCTATAGCAAAAACCTCTCTCTAAAAAAAAAAAAAAAAAAAAAAAGCTTACTAGTCTTGAAAGTTTATATGTTTTATATTCTCTTCTATTTATGAATAATTTATCATTTCAAAAGATTTAGAATTTAAAATTATTAAAATACTAATTAATATATCACAAATAATAGCATTTAGAATACTTATATGTACCAGACACATTATTAAGCATTTACAAAGTAAGTACCATTTATAATTGGAGAGATCAAATAACCTGCCTAAAGTAACAACTAAAAAGTAAAGGGGTTAGGGACCAGCAGATGGTGTAATGGTTACGTCTCTGGACTCCCACAAAGTTGACCGTGGTTCAAATCCCAGACCTGGTGGCTTAAAAATCACAACAGGTACATGTGCATATGAACTGTGAGGTTCAAGTCCCAGACCAGGCACCTTGAAAAACACACCAGGTATGTGTGTGTGCGTGCCCAAATTCTCAAGAGGAGGATGGTGGAGAAAGGATTGCTATGTGGCCATCCCTCCGAAGAGTTCTTTCTCACTTTCTGTCTTTTTACCCCCCTCTCTTTCTTTCTAGTAAGCACATAGGCCCTACAGCAAAATTAAAAATAAATAAATAAATAAAGCTTTTCTTTATTTTTTTAGAGAGAGAGATTTTTGCTATAGGGTACATGTACTCGCCAGAGAGACAGACAGACAATAAGACAAAAAGCGAGAAATCATCCCAGAGGGGATGACCACCACATTTCCTCCATTCTCTTCGGATCTCGGGCACGCACGTTACACACCCAAGTGAGCTGCTAGGTTCAGGACTCATACCATAGTCGACTATGTGGAAAATCAGCAATATAACCATTGCGCCATCTGCTGGTCCCAAAATACTAAAGCATTGTTAAGACTTTTAAAAACTGGGACCAGCAGTTAGCGTAATGGCTATGTCACTGTACTCCCATGTAGGCGACGGTGGTTCGCGCCCAAGATCCCGAGAGGAGAATGGAGGAGAAGGGATTGCGGCGTGGCCATCCCCCCGGGGGGTGATTTCTCGCTTTCTGTCTCTATGTCTCTCTTATCACAAAAAACTCTCAAAAAATAAATAATAATAATTTGAGATCTGCTAGATTAATTAACTAAGGTGATACTTTCAATTATTATTGGAGAACTTAGTAAAGCATATGAATATATTAATTTAAATATTTATTAGTCCTCATACCACAACTCCAAAATTATGAGAAAGATAACAAAAGACAATATGATCTTTATCCTCGAGTAGTTCACAAGAAATCCAAACCACATACTAATATATTGTGTATTATATAAATTAAAGGTACATAACAGAAACAAATCAAAAATAAATTAACCTAGAAATAAAATAATAAATACACAGTGTAATGAATTACTACTAGAATTTTTAAATGGTCTACAAATTTAGCACTTACCTTCATATTTAAAATGGTAACATTTTCCAAGTAATAATACAGGGGAATTTCTACTAAAATAGGTCTTTGTTTTCAACACCCAACCTAAATGGAAAAAAAAAAGGAGTTTTACAATTAAGAGATTTCACACTAAAAGTTTAACAAGTATTTCCTTTTATTTAGTTTCAAGTCATTGGTTATCACTTATATCTGTGCATTTTTGCAAGGGCTGCAAAATTTTGGGCAAAGTCCTGAAAATACAGGCCATTTATGCTACTTTTAAAGAAAGTTAAGTATTTTGGGAACCAGCAGTTAGCGTAATGGCTATGTTGCTGGACTCCCATGTAGTTGACCATGGTTCGCGTCCTGGACCCGGTGGCTTAAACTCATGCCGGGTGCATGTGCATGCGTGCCCAAGATCCCGAGAGGAGAATGGAGGAGAAGGGATTGCAGCATGGCCATTCCCCCTGGGGGGTGATTTCTCACTTTCTGTCTCTCTCTCTCTCTCTCTTTCTGGTGAGCGCACGTGCCCTATAGCAAAAACCTCTCTCTAAAAAAAAAAAAAAAAAAAAAGAAAGAAAGTTAAGTATTTTTAACCACATTTTTTCACTTAAAGACCATGAGAAAAATTAATGCTAATTTTTCTCCAGACAAGTCACAATGTTCTTGTGGTACAAGTTCTATTCCAAATTCCCTGACACAAACCTGACAACAATTACTGGGATTGGCAGGTGGCATAGTGGTTAAGGGTGCTGGACTCCCACATGGTTGACTGTGGTTCAAGTCCTGGACCTGAAGGCTTGCTTTCTCACTTTCCTTCTCTCTCTCTCTCTCTCTGTCCCTCTCTGGTCAAATTAAAAATAAATAAAAATTTTTTTTAATTATAACAATTATCAATTTTGTTTCCTTTCATTTCATTTTTAAATTTATTTTTAGTTTGTTTAGTTATTTCCATGAGAGACAAGGATCTTCACCAGGATCTTCACACTTCTCTCCACCCACTCTCAGCCCCCTGGACAGGCACACACACACTCATCAAGCATGGTCGGGAAGGTTCCCAGACACAAACCCAGGACCTTTCCCATGTGGGTCCAGTTGCATTACCCCATGCCATCGTCTCACCCTGTTTCCTTCCATTTTACATTGTGAAAGGTTTAAACTACTTGAATATTCTAGTGAAGTAATTATAAGGAAAAGATCACACAGTAGATTACTGCTCATGATACAAGTAGGTATCTGAAGTTTCCCAAGAACTCTCTTGTCATCCCTCATTTTGGCCAAAGGATGCCTGAAAGTATGGTATAAAGATTTCAGACATCCTTATCCTAATTTTTTACCCCCGATTTTAGTTCAAATTCTATTACTTCCAATTTTCCTCCCACTAAGCTGTCAGTTTCTAAAAGGTAGTGTCTCTTTCTGGATTTTCATGATCTGTTAGTAGTTCTTAATTTCCTAAGAAAAACATTTATCTGTTTTTTCCTGAATATACCCAACTATAAAAAATTCCTCACTGCTAGGTTTAAAAGTATCTCCTAAAGTGCAAGAATGCCTAAACAGAAGGAATCTGAAATTAGGATCCACAGACTTGGATCTAGTCTGGCATAGACTATCTGCCCTTTATATTTAACAGAGTTGTTACAAAGTTTAAAAGGGATGTTTTTAATGAAAATGCTCCCTAACATACTATATAAATAGAAAACATGTAGTTATAATAAACGTAATGCAAGTCATTGAATTTGGTGATAAATGAGAATAGAAAGTCAAATATGCCAATATATTAAGCATTACTTATTGCATTACTGCAACTTTGGCATTTCTGTGGTGTTTCCCCATCTAACAAACACTACATATCACTGCGAATTTAATCTTCTTGTGGCTCAGCTGTGATTAGGTAACTCTTTGGTTTAAAAAATTCTCAATTACTTCTTACATAACTGTTTATTGTGAACTTCTCAGTTGTACTAAGGCCTTTCCATAATATCACATCAATTGCTTTTATAGCCGTATCTCCCACTGCCCTTCACCTATACTCAAAGTAGGCCCCGCTACTTGGCTCACACCATCTCCTGCTGTCCTCCCCAATATCAGTTCATCGTAATCTACTCCTTCAGCTAGCTTAAACATGCTCTTCTCAGGACCAGCAGTTAGCATAATGGCTATGTCGCTGGACTCCCACATAGTTGACCTCAGTTCGCGTCCCGAACCTGGTGGCTTAAACTCACACCGGGCACATGTGCATGCGTGCCCAAGATCTGAGAGGAGAATGGAGGAGAAGGGATTGCGGCATGGCCACCCCCCCGGGGGGTGATTTCTCGCTTTCTGTCCCTCTGTCTCTCTCCGTCTGTCTGGCGAGCACATGCACCCTATAGCAAAAACCTCTCCAAAAAAAAAAAAAAAAAACATGCTCTTCTCAGCCATTTTTTTTCTATTTCCATCTAGCTCTGATTCTTTTAACTCTACTGAGAAATTGGTATTTATTGACCGTCTCCTGTATTCCAAGTACTAGCTAGAAGGAAGGAAAACACACAAAACAGTTCAGAAGGATTTACATCAATAAAAAATTAAAATACTATTCCATAACTGGAGGCTATCTATAATATTTAGTCAGCCTGAATAATCTGTTCTTCAGCAACTTGAGATTACTCATTTAAATATCTAGATACAGAAAGCTATGTATATATATATAGTTAGTTAAATAACAATTCATAGGATATGACTGAAATGTGTTATTCAGTACCCATATGGCCATTTTTAGACCTTACAAATGAATTCATTACATAATCTACAAGCATCTCAAGTGTTAAGGGAGACCTCAGGACATAAATTAGGACCTTTCCATGTTGCCTAAGCACTGTGGAGTGTTGTATTACCACTGCACCACTGCAGCTGGCCAGGAGATATTCCTGACCACATGCTTTTTTTTTTTTTGTGAATAATTATTTTTATTTAATTTTATTTATTATTATTATTTTTTTTTAATTTGCCATGGGGCACATGCACTCTCCAGAGAGAAGTAAAGAGAGAGAAAGTGAGAAAGCAAGCCACCAGGTGTGGGACTCAACCCACAGTTGGTCATATGGAAGTCCAGCACCACAACCACCATGCCACCTGCTAACTCCCCCAATGACATTCTTTAACTATTTCAACCAAAGAAAAATATTTCATTTCTCAAGTAATTGTTAGTGACTTAAAAAGGAGTATTAATATTCATGATTTTTAAATTATACTTACTATATTTCATGTTGTTCCAAGCAGATACAAATTTAGTTTTTAGCTTATCAACTTCATCTGTTCCTGTGGCCTCCATATTCAAATTCTAAAGAAAAAGCCATCACTTGATTGCATTCTTCTGTTGAGTTTAATCTTTTGCACTGACTTGAAAAAAAAAATCAAGAAAAAATAAGTAATCAGTACTTAACATGGTGCCATGCTTACTAAAGTTACTTAACTAAATACAATTTGAACTGGAAACGAGCAAACTAATTTTTCATTTTACAGAAATATATAGATGATAAAACAAATACTTATTTTACTTACAGATGGAAATCTGTTTTTTTTTTTTTTTTGGAGAGGTTTTTGCTATAGGACACGTATGCTCGCCAGAAAGACAGAGAGAGACAGAGAGACAGCAAGTGAGAAATCACCCCCCAGGGGGATGGCCACACCGTAATCCCTTCTCCTCCATTCTCTTCTCAGGATCTTGGGCACGCATGCACACGTGCCCACCGTGAGTTTAAGCCACCGGGTTCAGGACTCGAACTGTGGTCAGATACATGGGAGCCCATCGACATAGTCATTATACTAACTGCTGGTCCCAAATCTGTTTGTTTTTAATTATTTAATTTTACTATGTGTTTAAAGAGTTTCTAAAATTTAACTTTATTTGTTTGTTTATTTATTTTAATTTTACCAGAGAGGAATAGAATGTGTGAAAGAAAGAGAGAGAGTGAAAAAGCAAAGCTCCAGGTCCAGGACTGGAACCCCAGTTGGCCATGTGGCTGACAGTCCAGCACCCTTAACCACCACACCACCTACAAGCCCCTGTTATTATTATTTTTTAATTTGACCAGAGAGTGACAGAGAGAGAGAAAGGAAAAGTGAGAAAGCAAGCTGCTAGGTCCAGGACTCAGACCACAGATTGCCATGGGGGAGTCCAGTGCCTTAAGCACCATGCCACCTGCTGACCCCCAGACAGAAATCTCAGAAAATAACATTTCTAGGGACAAGCAGTTAGCGTAAGGCTATGTCTCTGGACTCCCATGTAGTCGACCACGGTTCGAGTCATGGACCCAGTGGCTTAAACTCACGCTGGGCGTGTGTGCGTGGGTGCACAAAATCCTGGGAGGAAAAGGGAGAAGGGATTGTGGCGTGGCCATCCCCCCCCCCGGGGGGTGATTTCTTGCTTTTTATCTCTCTGTCTCTCTCTGTCTTTCTGGCGAGCACAAGTGCCCTATAGTGAAAAACCTCTCAAAAAAAAAAAAAAAAAAAACACAGAAGAAAATAACATTTCTATAAATACTTTATTTACAAAAAACATTTAATATCAAATATATAATAATAAAATTATCATACAAAATCAAGCAATAATCTTCCCCAATTGCTCACAACTAAATACCATAAATCAATTTAAGAACAGGCTTCATCTTTGGTGCTTGTGAAAATATGCAAGGTTTGTTTTGTTTGTATTAGAAAACATGATTTAAAATTTAATAAAAAAAAGTTGATTATCTTTAGAATGGAGGTTTCCACTGATATTAAATCACTACTTTCATACTCTTTACTTATTTTAATTTCTAAATTAGGGCAAATCCTACCTATTCTTCCTATCTTAATACTGCAGCATTTAAAAAACAGAATGGCTTAAACTGCTAAAAGAAAATGTTTTCTTACTTTAAAATAAGAATAAAATGGGGACCAGGAAATGGCATAATGGCTATGTCGATGGACTCCCATGTAGTTGATCACGGTTTGAGTCCCAGACCCAGTAGTTTAAACTCACAAGTGTGTGTGTGTGTGTGTGTGTGTACATGCCCAAGAGGAGAATGGAGGAAAAGGGATTGTGGCGTGGCTATCCCCCCTGGGGGATGATCTCTCACTTTCTGTCTCCCACTGTCTTTCTGGCAAGTGCACACACCCTTTAGCAAAAAAACTTCTCAAAAAAAAGAAAAAGAAAAGAAAAACCAATAAATAAATAAGAATAAAATGTAGTTGGGGCCAGCAGGTGGTTTGGTATTTGGGGCGCTGGACTCCCACATGCTGACTGCGGTTCAAGTCCCAGACCAGGCAGCTTGCTTTCTCAGTTCCTCTCTCTGTTGAATGCATGTGCCCTATAGTAAATTTAACAGTAACAATAATAAATAAATTTAAATAAATAAATCTTGAAAAAAAAAGACCAATTGGTTTCAAACAGAAATATAAGAATTATATTCTATAGGTTGGTCTTTATTTCACTCTAAGAGCAGCATGATGAATTGACTGAGAAGAAATAAAGGCAGATGGTGAGTGTTTACCACTGTTACACAAAATTGGAGAGGCATGATAATACTTTGGACTGGGACAACAGAGATGGAGAGGAATGAACATATGAGGAATCGTGTCAAAAATTCAATAAGTCTTGATAAAACTATAGATGTACAAAGTGGGGAATAGGCTTCCAGCTTGTGAAACTAAACAGATGATGTCAATCATTGAAATAGAAACATTAGGAAAAGGACAGGTTAGAGGGAGAAGATCACGAATTTGGTTTGAGGGATGTCTCTGAAAGGCACAATAAATTAAAGAGAATCTTTCATTTATTTAACCATTTGATAAATTATTCTTTTAACATTTTATTAACGTAAAATGATTGTGGGGCTGGCAGGTGGCATGGAGGTTAAAGGTGCTGTATTCCCACATGGCCAGCCATGGTTCAAGTCCTGGACCGGGAAACTTGCTTTCTTACTTTCCCTTCCTCTCTCTCTCTCTCTCTCTCTGGTCACATTAAAAAATAATAATAACAAATGGAATTAAACAAATCTTTTAAAAAATATAACAGTTGCACTTATTTGTGGGAGTACAATGTGATTTATCAGTACAAGAATACAATGTGAAATGATTAAATGAAGGTAATTAGCATACCCATCATCTCAACAGTTGTAATTCCTTGTTTGGAGATGATAAATTACTGTCAAGACAGTAATCACTGTAGATACAGTAGAGAAAAAAAATGGTGATAAAATACCTGCTTTCATGGAGCTTATATGCTAGGTATGTTCTAGAGATGGCAAGTAGACAGTTGGGTACGTAAATCTGGAGCTCAAAGGAGAGGTTTCTAGGCTAGCAATATTAATTTAAGACTGTCAATATATAAGTGATAACATATTCATCAAGAACTATGCTTTGTTTGTTTATACCTCCAGCACTTGGCACAATGCCTGGTACTTAAGGATGATACCTAAGACCCTTCTTGAAATCATGAAATAACCTTTGCCCCCTTACTCAGTTTCTTCTCATGCTACCTCCCTACATTCACCATATGCTGAAACCATTTTTAATATTAATATTAAATCTTTCTGAACTTGATCTGATACTTCCATGCCTTGTCATGTGTTGTTTCTTCTGCCTCAGATGCCTTCCTACTCATCCTCCCTGTGTGACCACCTTACTACCATGGTCCCTAAGACCCAGTTTAAGTGCCATCTCCTCTAGTAAGATTGGTAATATGTCTCTGACTTCTCTTCCCAAACCTCAAATTAAACAAGTGTCCTCTTCATAGTTCTCACAGGATCCTATGTCTTTCTCTACAATAACACTTACCGCACTGAACTGTAATAACTTGTTTCCTACCTGTCACCAGCAACAGACAGTAAATTGAGTGTCCTTATAGTCTGCCTGGCATGCAATTGGTTCGCAAAAACATTTATCAAATGAATCAGTGAACTAAGAAGTTAACGAAATATAGGTTATCACTACTGGCATTCTTACCAGAATTTTTTAAACTGACAACTAGAACATAGAAATGGGGGGAAAAAATTTCCACAAGAAAATTGCATACATAATTTAGATGAATCTGGAAAAGCAAGAAGGAAGAACTCATAAGATGTGTGAATTACATATAGTACATCCACATGAAGGATTATGTATCCATTAAAAATGTCTCTAAGAGTTTGTGAAAACGGGGACCCACTTTGCAGAATCTGAAACTTTATTTACCATATGACATGAGGGGGAACTCAGAGATAGAAAGAGGGTTTGAAAGAAGTACATTAAAATGTTAACTATAGTTTCTCTGTGAGTGGTAATATTTTTACCATAATTACTCACATTTTTCAAATCTTATGTAAATAACATATATATTTTTAGAATTTAAAAAGTTTTTTTTTTAAAGCCACCAACCTTGAATCTTCTGAATCACCAATCTTGAATCTTCTAAATTCAAAAATTTTAAATAAGAGATACATGCACGTATTTTTTTCTAAGTCAAAAAGAAAACAGGCCACAAGGAAGTCCTTGATTTTGACAAATCCTAACACCAGCCACCAGGAAGGAAAATTCTGAAGTAAATGAAGGCAAAGAAGATCATGAGCAATTCATCTTTTTCCATGGGAAAAGTCAGTATCTTAGATAACGACTCCTAAATGAATAAATAAGTAACAGAAGATGCTATGGTAGATATAGAAATCAATGATAACTGACAACTAGATTATCCAAAGAAAGAAAAAAATTCTTTCTAATCTCAAAGAACTTAAGAGTTGTTCCTTTATTGTTAGTCATAACTCTGCTACTGTAACTCTTACAATAATATTTGAAATGCTTTTCCAATAGAGCCTTAATTATTCTATAAGAATAATTTTATTGGGGACCAGCAGTGAGCGTAATGGCTATGTCGCTGGACTCCCACATAGTCGACCGCGGTTCGAGTCCCGGACCCAGTGGCTTAAACTCACGCTGGGCACGTGTGCGTGCGTGCCCAAGATCCTAAGAGGAGAATCGAGGAGAAGGGATTGCAGCGTGGCCAACCTCCCTGGGGGGTGATTTCTTGCTTTCTGTCTCTCTCTGTCTGTCTGGCGAGTGGACACGCCCTATAGCAAAAACCTCTCCAAAAAAAAAAAAAAAAGACACCTGGA